ATGTAGAATATTTCTTCGAGAAAGACTTACCGGCGAGAAAGAAAACTGTCCCGTAATCAAAGAAAAAAAGTAATCTCAGATGACCCGATGCTGAATCAGATAATGAATAAAACTCAAGAAATACGATCTACACGAGGGATAAAGCTTTTCCCAGTGCTTGTCCGTCTTGTAACGAAGTACCAGTTACTGATGTTAATTCTAAACTAATGCTTTCTTGGGTTTTCAACTTCTTTGCTGAGTCATGAACGGGCTTTGCCGTTTGCTCCTCCTGTTCTGCGGCCTTCAACCTCGCATTTCGTGAAAAATCGAGGAATATCTGAAAAAATTTTAGATTTTAAAATTTTGTAAAGACCTCTCCGATAATACTATCGTCCGCGCTATTCCGGAATTATGTGTGACTGAAATCCTCGCAACGAAACAGCATTCAGGGAAACAGCACTTCTTCAGCTACAATTTACAGAGTTTTCTTTTATTATCGCTACGCAAACAAGAAAAATTGGGCTCGCAGATGACTCAGTATTGAATTACATAATAAATAAAACTTTAGAAATTTGACCACCGGGTGAAGCAACAAGGGTCAAAACAACTGAGAAAGTTGCCAGTTGCACAAACTTTATTCCAGTAGATTTTGAGACACCTGGTGGATCTAGCACCTCGGACTAGGCCAGAGTTTTCCGGATTTACCAGACTTAGAGGAAGGACATTCGTGGACCAAAAAATAGCAAAGACAGGATGACCAGAATTACTGAGATGGAGTTTTGGTGCTACTGAAATGGTGGATTTTGAAAATCCGTTGTCTAGTCCGAAAATTGACACCAATTAATTCAAATTTCCTTGCGCGTTTATTAAGCTGAACAAGAAATTCGTTGCCCGGTAAAAACTAGCAAGAACTGCTTCAATTCACCGGAATGGTGAAAGCCGTTGTGTAATTTTCCTGTGCAATTTTGTGTAAATCTGAAGGAATTTAGTCATTCGCTACTTCTTTTCACTGATTTATCTAGCAACTCTTGGAGACTAAAAATGCAAAATTTCTTCTAAACTGGAAATCCAACCTGGTCTAGAGTAGTTTGGCTAATTGAGTAATCCGCTGCATCAACCAAATTCACAAGTTTCTCGACTTTTTCGAACAGCATCGACCATGTCTGCCCTTTCTCAAAAGCTAGCTCGTAATTCAAATGTAATATGTGCTCATCCTGAAATGCATTTTACAGTAGGTATAAGCAGGGTAAAGAAAAGAAGCTGCACGGGTCACTTGGCAAGGGTGATCGATAACAGATGAATGAAACGAGTTATCTACTGGTACCTACAAAATGCAAAAAGGCCAGCAGCAAGACCGTCTAACGCTGGTCCGATCCGCTAACTTGATTCTATCGAGTACCATGGACGAAGCGAGCACAAGATAGAACTCAGTGGCGTAGATGTTGGCTTAGTTACTGGAGAAGATCAAAAGTGAATAAGTGACGATAAGAAGCCGCTTAATGTATTTCAAATAGCGAAACGCAACTAATGTCTGGTTAGAATTCCTGGAATAACAGTTTAATTCATGGTCTGGATCTCCACCTATGCAGCTGGCAACTTGCACCAACTACGATCTTAAGCTTTCCGCATTCACAGCAAATAACGCAAAACACACAGATAACAGAAAAATTTAGATGTCAAGATGAGCACTTTTAACAGTGAGTCGGGAAACATTTGCGCGACGAGTTCTTTAGTCCTTTCGATTTGACTCGGTTCACGTAGTCTGATCGCCAAACTGTATCCGCTGCCGTATCTGTAAATTTCATATATTCAAAAAATCCCAGTTTTTCAACCGGTAAAGCGATATTTCGTGCCGCGCGAGCTCGTAATCCGCTTAGAATGTAATTCACTAACACACATTAAAACCGCAAGTGATCCCACTTGGTAATGCAGTATAAAGGTAATGCATTTGTCATTCGTCAAAACAACTAGAAAAATTGTTGGGTGCGCGAATGAAGGACAAGGCTATGAACTGAATTTTCTTTCCCTGGTTACATTTTGAGTTGTTTTTTATAAAATTTTTCGTGCACTTTCCTCTTTGAAACGAGCGACTTCGGTGTCTTTTGGTGCAAAAAGTGAACTCAAACATAAGCAAAAATGAAGAACTCCGGATAAACATTGAAATCGAATTCAAAAATATTACGAATAGAAGTAATGGACCGTTCTCAATATCCTATTTTGCTTACTGTTATTGTATATACGGGTGAACATGTCGTAGAGCAATCTATGTTTCATCTCTTAGCTGTAAACATAGAGAGAGAGCAGAGCTTAAAGTTAGAAAATGGTCAATTGAGAGCAATTTACTTTGATTTAATATGTTGCGTACTGCCAAGACATCGAAATTCTCCGCTGACCATAATTGCAATTTGTGTACAAAGTGCTTCGCATTCCTCCATGCTATGTGATGTAAGCACCAAAGCTGTACCAGCTTCACGAACCTACAAAAATCGGCATTCTGCTGCCCTGCTCGCTTGATTACTCCGCGTTACGAATCTGACCCTCAAAGTTTACCTTCGAAAGAATATTCCAGATAATTCGACTTGCTTTCGGATCGACGCCCGTCGTTGGCTCATCCAGCAACAGAACTTCGGGAAGCGTTAAAAGAGCGATTCCTAAGCTCAAACGCCGTTTATTGCCGCCACTGAAACACAAATATTCTGTTTAGTGCACCAATAGGACCTTAAGAATGACAAAAAACAACTCCCCACGTGTAGTACCAGTGAGTACCATACGTAAGGAGTAGGAGGAAAGCCAGCAAGTGCTTCGACAGTTTTTGAATAGATACTACATGTTCTAATAAAAATAGTGGGTAAGAACTGAGAATGAGTAAAGAGAGCCTGGAAAAGCTTGACCTAACGTGTGCCTACAGAACTGCATTGCCGTATAGAGATTTTGGCCAAGAATCCGAGGATTTTCCATACCGAAGACACGGAAGTCCTGGGTCGTGTTGCAACGATGTTACTAAGACGTGCGCACACGTAACTTCGTTGAAACAACACTTATTTCTAGAATTCTGTTAAAATCATACTACATATTTGAGTATTATCCATATAAAGTGTTAAATGAACTATATAGGAAGTCAGACTCTCCGTAAGATGAGCGGCATGCAGGATATCACTGCGACCATGCAAGAAAATGAAATCCGATGGGCAGGGAAGGTTCGTGTTGATGAGTGGTAAAAAAGTAAGCTACTGGTCGATGGCGCCCGAAAATGTAACACACATACATCGAACAAGCGATGGGTTAGTAGGTATGCAGCACCGGATCTAAGGGCATGGCACAGCTGCAAACCGACATTTAGGAACATTCCAGTAGCATCGCTTAATGGATCGGAACATTCCTATTCTGTTGATTATTTTTAATACGATTTTTTATTTCTTAATACATTTCACATATCACCAATAACTCTAGATATACCACAAAGTGATAACTCAGGCGATCTTCGTATTCGTCTCTAAATGAGCGCTAGAAAGGCAATAGTCTTTTAGGTGGAAGGATTCACTTGAACGGCTGTACGGAGCTACGGATGTCTCCAAATTGAGTTCCATCAGTAGCAAAAGGAGCAGGAAGCGCTGAAGCAGTGAGGTTGTTCAAAAAGTGTCAGAATTCCCCTCAAAAATGCTAAATAGCTTTATTTATGAGCGTTCTGAGGTTACAATAATGCACTGTGATGCAAATAGATGATTTTCATTTAATCAGCTCAGAGTTAGCTTCTTCCATAGCAAGTCCTCTCTTGGCCA